GGTGTTGTTTGGTAATAATACTGATGATGTAGGGGGGATTATATCGTTTATCATTTAACGTTAAGCGTTGGGGAATGATTGAGAGCTGAGCAAATAAAATGAGATGTACAGAGATAGACTGAGCTGGAGCAAACATATTAGCTGGGTCACCCACATCAACCAATGACATTCCGGCTCTCACTTTTACATGGGAAGAAAACAGGAAGCAGTCTAATTGGTAATATAAATAGCAATATTGTTGCAATAAAGTGTAACAAAGTCAAAACTTTTTATTTAGTTTTGAATCATTTTGGTTATTAGCCAGGGCCGGATTGCCCACAAGGCCAACCAAGGCCTGGCCTTGGAGCAGCAGGGAGTAGAGGGGCAGCAGGGGTGTGGGATTCCTATCTCCCGATGCCCGGGACATGCAATTCCGGGCGACGGGTGGGTATTTGTTTTCTACATTCAACCCTGCTTTGGGCAAGCAGAGCTAATTGTACAGTGGGGAAGCCACCACTTGTTTTGTACATGAGATCCCGGCAATGTTGCCGAGATCACTTGTATGCAGCCTTCAGGTCTTCCATTCTCCATGGGGGGGGGGTGGGGGGGGGCGCATTGAGTAACCTGGCCTTGGGGCAGCAGAGAGAGTAAATCCAGCCCTGTCAGTAGCCCAACACTGCTGTCTGTGACCCCTTTGGGGGGGGGGGTTCCCTTTACTTCCTGTCCCAGAGAAAACAAATAGGAAATTAGAGAAATCTCTTCAAGGCGATGGAAATTGTCTTCTAAGATGGTCGTCACCAAAGCAGGTGTCCCCATGTAAGTTTGCTGCATGAGCCGGAGAAGGGGGGGCTTTTTGCTGCCTGAGCCGGGGGGATAGTGATGCCACCCTCCGCAGACCTGGGAATGCTCTGGCCGACGTCCCACCCAGCTCCTGGCAGCCAGTGACGCCACTGTGTCCCAGCTCTTAGTACACTTGGACGGCCTTGTGCAACAGAGCGGCTACTATACATGTGGCCCTTGGACAGTAGGCTATACACCAGGTGTTACGATCTGGATCAGGCTTGGAGTCCATTAGGTGAAACAACAGGCAAAGTCGTAGTCAAACAGGCCGAGTTCGGTACACAAGCAGACGGTAGTAGTGTAGGAGCAGGCAGAAGCATAGTCAGAGAACAAGCCAAGATCAGTAGCCAAAGATATCAGGTAGTCGGTGAATCAGCAGCCAAAGGTCGGTACACGGGTAGCAGTATGAGTGGATTGTATCACAGGAGGAGCAATGAAGCAAGATCTTGGCGGCAGCACAATAATCTGTCAAACAGGAAGTGCAGAGGCATGGCTTAAATAGGAAGTTCAAGGGAGGAGCAGAGTTCAGTAGAAACTAGGTTTAACTGAGGATTACACAGGAGATCAGGCAAGGAGCCATCCAAGGTTCTAAGGTGGATCAGCAGTTAGAACCACTGCCAGCTACAGCAGAGGCCCTGGGTTCAGATCCAGTTCCTGACACCAGGGCTCCAACTCCAGGACTTTTGCCAGTGGAATAACATACATTCAAAACATATTATTATTCTAAAGAAAAAAAGAGTAAAAAAACACAGAGGGGATCCTGTGGATTGGCCAGTAGATCCACTGCTTGTGAACTGGTCAGATCCCAGTCAGCAGACGGGTCAGATCTCCCTCAGAAGCTGCACAAGATGAATATTACTAGAAAAATGAGAGCCAATTGGCAGCTAGGCCGTGTTCCTTGACAGAGTATAAATGTAAAATTTTCATGTTTGCCTGGATGGCACCTTCAGGGGTCATCTGTCACGACGTGACATGACCAACGCGTTTGCGACAGTAATCTAAAATCCTAATACGCCATCAAGAGCAGGAAGCGGACTCCTAAATAGGCCGGCACAGCAAAATCCATTACGCCTCGCTATCCGCGTTATTAAACTTTTATTTTAAAGTTGAAATCCTCCTCCCGATAGCCCGGGCTGCCCGATGCATTTCTGAGTGGTTAAATCACTTCTCTCCCAATCTGCTCTAGGTACTTTCTTATTTATAAAGTGGGGAATGAGCATCTTTGCGCCCAGAGGCAACTGCACAAAACAATCACGATAAATGGATTATTAATTTTAATTTGCGCTTCTTATTACTGATCCGGGAACATTATATTACTTCTCCGGCATTTCAATATAATTTATATCTTTAAAAAAAAAAAAAAGGGTGGAGCTAAAATTAAAATTTATTTGAATTTAACGGGTCATGTTTCAATATCTTTTAGCAAGCCTAATAATCTGGCGCGGGGAGAAGAAAAAAAAATGGCATTCCGACATATGTCCAGCCAAAATAGAAGCGCAAAAATATGTCAATCTGTAAAGAAGAAAAAAAAACGGAGAGCCTGGCAGGGCCGGGGTGAGGAGGAATAGAAGGAGTCAGTTGGCACAGCTCAGTGGGGGGGAGATGAAGTGATATGATAGGCATATGACATGAATGCCACCACTTCAAGGACAGGCAATGTCAAGCAGAGAGACTAGAGAACAAGCTGCAGATGGCAAAGCCATGTGAACAGGCTATGGCCTTATTTTGGGACTGGTGTGTGGGAGCGCACTTAGAGATTCTTTTATCTGAATTACAAGGCAATTATTCTTTATTTAAAACCATCAGAAGAAAAAACATTGGGGGCCAAACTTTACAACCCAAGCTGGTCAGAGCTCTCTAAGTACAAGAAATGTAAAGCTACACTTCTATCCCAGGGTTTCAGAAGCTATAGAGTTATAGACCTCATGATGCTGTAGCCCCCATCACCTTCTGTGAGGTGGCTACTAGACATTTAGTGATAGCCCGGGATGTAGTCAGCCTGGCTGGAATAATAGTGGCAATTATCTGGTTAATTCCTGGTGTCTGCCATTGCCGGTACCTCCCTGGGCGGAGTGGGACAGCCAATGTGTCATATTGTGGGACAGCCAATGTGTCATATTGTGGGACAGCCAATGAGAGACACTGTAGTGTATGTACAGTACAGCAGCCAATCACTGGGTTCCTCTCAGCCAGTGGTGCATGCTGGGATAAGGTACATATACTGGAGGAATTTGCCATGTGCTCAGAGTAGCTGGGACCAGCCGTGGAATAGGGCCTAAGGCGTGGGGGTGGGCATATGCTGGGGTGAGGGAAATGTTTCCCTGAGGCCTCCAACATGGAGAAGGCATGTTTTGCTGTTAGGGAAAGAGACCCAGGACCAATGACTCTTGAAGTATCCTGGAAGCTGAGGACTTCAGAGGCATGGCCGGTATCTTTCCTGTTTGAGGATCTGTATTCATCCTGCTTAACTGCTACATCAGTTGCCATTCGCTGCCGCCCAAGTGGATCTACACTGATAGGCCAACAAGGTCTGGTGAGTCTGGAGCTCTTGTCAGTTACCTCTGGAAGTTTAGAACCCCCCATATCCTCTCTCCTCAGAGAAGATGTTTAATAAAACGTTATTCTGCATTATACTATTGGAGTGGACATCAGCTTGTGGGCAGTAGAAGTAGGGTGGTTACGGCTAATGGGTGGGCAGCTAAAGATCATACCCTAGACAGACTAGAGATGAACCGGGCATTCAGCGCGCTCCTTCGGGGGTGAGCGCTACAATGTCATAACCTATAGACCTCATGATGTCACAGATTATTAATAAATTATGATTTTATTATATCATTTAGTACAATATAGTCCTGCAACTTTTAAAGGCCAGTTAAGATCATCTAAAAATATTCCAGCCAATCAGGAAGCCGGGCAGCTGTTAATGACTTGCCCGGCTTCAAGTAAGGTACTCGATATTGACGAGTACCGAAATGCAAATATCGGTACTCGTACCTCATACCGAAAAACCTGTATCGGTGCATGCTACAAAAAACTCACCATGCCTCTTACTAAATACCACGTCTACTTTCTGAAAAGGGGGTCATCTCCTTTTATGTAATGGAGATGAACAAAGGCAGACATGTTTGAAGTCCACCCTAGGTGACAACCATGGTTCCTGTCATGCATACAGCGAGGAGGTGAGTGTAGCCACCCAGGTTATTGTTATTCAAAGGAAGAAACCTAAAAAAAAAGCAACAATATATGAAAAGTTTTGGTTTTTTGTTTAAATACACTTTAAACAATCAAAGTAAAACATCTCTGCTCTTCATTCTCCTTTTCCTGTCCATAGAGAATTTTCTAGATAACCTCATAAATATTCGCATTCTTGCCCCTTCACCGCCTGGCGCATCACTATCTGTCAGGCTTAAAAAATTCAAAATGGTGTCATCAACAGCACAAAGAATAGTAAAAGGTACAAAAAAAGATTTCAACATTTGACAAAAGCAGAATATTAATGATATCGGAATAAAATGTAATCATTTATTAAACACAATTGTGATTGGTCGTCTTTACCCAATCCACCCCGGATTGAGCCCCCTCGTATAATTCTGTTTACACAGCTCTGCCTAAGCTCTAAACATCTGCGTGTCTCCCCCTTCTGCTTTATTACATGCCATTTGTGCTGCGCTATAAACACATTTCCATATCCAACATCAAACAATACCTGCGACCTTTCCCGCCGTTGCTCGGGAGATAATTCAGCCTCTTTGTTGTGACAAAGTAATATCCCTGGTGCCGGGTCAGCAGGACCTGCTCATCAGTGCCTGGCTTCCTACATAATTATTAAAATGACTAAGATGCTTTCTCTAACAGCTGATAAACATAACATAAAGAGTCCTATAAACAGGCCCTGGAATAAACACGCTTTTTTATCATTACACAAATAAGATTTATTATGGTGTTACTCCTCTCCAATGTATTCCAATATATCAAGCCATCTGCCTAAGGTGAAAGCGTCACCTAGAAAAAAGCATTGCCATTTTGTTTATTTGTTTAACACAGCGGGTTAGTCTGAATTTATTTAAATGCAAATTACTTTAAAGAGACACTATGTGCTTTTTATTGTATCTTTTCCTATAGTGGGGGAGGCATACTGTTCGTGCAAACTGTGCACAAGGGCCCTCTGAGAGTTGGGGGTCCAATAATATTATATGTTGGCCAGGCAGGCAATGGAATGTAGGTGGTGTTCATGGTCTGAGCTCATTTTTATGTTAGAACTCTTCCTTCCTTCCCATCTTCTGCCCCCTCCTTTCTCTTTCCTTTCCTTTCTTTCTTTCCCTTTCCTATCTGTACTTTCTCTTTCCTTTCCTCTCTATACTTTCCCTTTCCTTTCTCTTTCCTTTGCTCTCTATACTTTCCCTTTCCTTTCTCTTCCTTTCCTCTCTATACTTTACCTTCCCTATGCCTTTCCTCTCTCTACTTTCCCTTTCCTTTCTCTTTCCTTTCCTCTCTCTACTTCCCCTTTCCTTTCTCTTTCCTTTCCTCTCTATACTTTCCCTTTCCTTTCCTTTCTCTTTCCTTTCCTCTCTATACTTTACTTTCTCTTTCCTTTGCTCTCTATACTTTCCCTTTCCTATCTCTTTCCTTTACTCTCTATACTTTCCCTTTCCTATCTCTTCCCTTTGCTCACTATACTTTCCCTTTCCTATCTCTTTCCTTTGCTCACTATACTTTCCCTTTCCTATCTCTTTCCTTTGCTCACTATACTTTCCCTTTGCTTTCTCTTTCCTCTCTATACTTTACCTTTCCTATCTCTTTCATTTCCTCTCTATACTTTACCTTTCCTTTCTCAACCCTTTCCTCTCTATACGTTCCCTTTCCTTTCTCTTTCCTTTGCTCTCTATACTTTCCCTTTCCTTTCTCTTCCTTTCCTCTCTATACTTTACCTTCCCTATGCCTTTCCTCTCTCTACTTCCCCTTTCCTTTCTCTTTCCTTTCCTCTCTATACTTTCCATTTCCTTTCTCTTTCCTTTCCTCTCTATGCTTTACCTTTCTTTATCTCCTACCTTCCCTCCCTATACTTTCCCTTTCCTTTTTCTTTCCTTTCCTCTCTATACTTTACCTTTCCTATCTCTTTCCTTTCCTCTCTATACTTTACCTTTCCTTTCTCTTTCCTTTCCCTTTTATTTCTCTTTTCTTTCCTCTCTCTACTTCCCCTTTCCTTTCTCTTTCCTTTGTCTTTCTTTTCCCTTTCCTTTCTCTTTCCTTTCTCTTTTCTTTCCTCTCTATACTTTCCCTTTCTTTTCCCTTTCCATTCTCTTTCCTTTCCTCTCTTCCTTTCCCCTTTCTTTCCCTTTTCTTTCCTTTCTCTTTCCTTTCTCTTTCCTTTCCTCTCTATACTTTACCTTTCTCTTTCCTTTCCTCTCTACCTTTCCTTTTCCTTTCCCTTTCCTTTCTCTTTCCTTTCTCTCTCCTTTCCTCTCTTCCTTTCCCTTTCCTTTCTCTTTCCTTTTCCTTTCCTTTCTCTTTCCTTTCCTCTCTTCCTTTCCCTTTCCTTTCTCTTTCCTTTCCTCTCTTCCTTTCCCTTTCCTTTCTCTTTCCTTTCCCTTTCCTTTCCCTTTCCTTTCTCTTTCCTTTCCTCGCTATACTTTCTCCTTCCTTTCTCTTTCCTTTCCTCTCTATACTTTCTCTTTCCTTTCTCTTTCCTTTCTCTTTCCTTTCCTCTCTATACTTTCTCCTTCCTTTCTCTTTCCTTTCCTCTCTATACTTTCTCTTTCCTTTCTCTTTCCTTTCCTTTCCTCCCTTCCCTTTCCTTTCGCTTTCCTTTCTCTTTCCTTTCCCTTCTCTTTACTTTCTCTTTCCTTTCCCTTCTCTTTCCTTTCTCTTTCCTTTCCCTTTACTTTCTTTTTCCTTTCTTTTCCTTTTCCTTTTTCCCGTTCCCTTCCTTTCCCTTTCAAGTATTTTATAAAAATAAAGGCAGCTGTTTATGATACACGATGCTTTAGGAAACAGAATGTAATTCGATTAGAATTTAGTATATGTGAAAGAAATCAACCTCTGGTAGCCTGCATTCAAAACTGAATCTGAAGCCTTTAAATGCATACAGGGTGCCCAGTCTAAACTACTCAAGACTTCAGTTTTCCAGTTGGTGCTCTAGAGGGATAGGCAACCTCGGCATTCCTATCCCATCCTGGCTCTGCCTCTAGCTCTGGTTGCTAGTCATGCAATGCCTCATGGGACTTGTAGTTCCTCCACAGCTGGAGCTCCTAGGTTGCCTATCCCTGCTGTACAGTCTCAGCCTGTGCCTCTCCCTTTTATTAATGACATTGTGACCTGGGAACATCTTTAGCTTTCCTGTTTGTAATGCCGGAAAAATACACCCAGAGCAGGCTCCTGACAGGTACCCATAAGATTCAAAACCACCTTGCAATTTTCCACTGGGGTCGCAAGAGTTGCAACAATCTGGTGGGGGTTTCAAACCTCTGGTAGCTAACCAAAGCAGAAGTTCATTTTGGGTGGTGTCACCCTTTAAGCACTCTTAAAGACATACAGCTACCCACATTCACCAAAAGGGCAGAAGGCAGAAGGAACTTCAGGCAAACTAACCCCAATGTCAACAACAGTCATCCATCGGTGCTTCCGCTTCACTGCTCCCACCGCGCCTTTGTACTCTGTTAGCTCGATTGGAATTAAAGCACCTGGGCTTATTAGATGACTAAACATCCCCTCTAATTACTGAGCCGTGATGACCTCATCTGTATTCGGTCACCTGGGTATAATTAAGGATACACTTAGTAACGTGGCAATGAGGTACTTCCTTCTTACAGCAAGAATAGAAGAAAAGCTTCATCACACATCAAGGACTTTCGCCGAGTCCTTGGATCAGCGAGAAGGTGGCGTGCAATATTCTACCCCCGGCGTGCTCTTAAAGGGAACCTTCTGGGTTGAAATTTGGAGGCAGCCATTGCGACGCAACTAGAATTTTCAGCAATCTACCTACTGTATAGGATTCATTTAATCCCAGTTTTTCGAGAATCCCGAATCTGGGGCAGCCATACACATTAGAAGCAGGGGTGAGCGGTTTGATTTTGGTGAAATTGGTTTTGCCAAACCATGGAATTACCAATTTCGTCATACCTGAGGTGAAATTTTCTTGAAGTGATAAACTCTTAGAGCAGAGGTAGGCAACCACGGCACTCCAGCTGTTGTGGAACTACAAGTCCTATAAGGCACATGTGTCAAACTCAAGGCCCAGGGGCCTGCCAGGCCATTTCTTAGACTTCTACTTTTGGATCTAGGTATTATGTTATTACTAAAACCAGTGGTAATCGAATGCAGAGGCAATTATGATAAAGATTAGATACATCTATATAGTCTTACAGATACCTTTGAGGGCAACCATAATGTTGATGTGGCCCACGATTAAATTGAGTTTGACACCCCTGCTATACGGCATTGCAAGACCCTGACAGAAATAGGCATGACTCCTAGCGGCAGAGGCATGATGGGATTTGCACTGTCACCACAGCTGGAGTGCCGAGGGGATATTTAGGCTCTGTTCACACCTAGGCGTATCGAATATGCGCGTTTGTCGCGCATTTCGTGACACGCGTTTTTACCGCGATTCGCTACTTGGCTGTATCCCAATGGAAACGCGCTACAAAAACGCCGCAAAGAAGCTCATGTACCTTTTCAGGCGTAGGCCGTTTTGTAGCACGTTCAGACGGGCTGAAATACGGCCCGTTGTGAACCATGCCCATAGAAAACAATGGGATTTTCATGTTTGAGCGTTTTGTAGAGCGTTCGTAGAACGTTGAACGCGCTACAAAACGTACAGGTGTGAACCAGGCCTAAGGGTAGTTTGTTACATTTTATTTTGTGTTTTTTTAATCTTTTTTATTATTTTTATGGATCTGATCCATATCTGTGTTCTGGCGCTTTACATTTTTATAATTTTTTCTCCTTTCTATGAAAAAAAAAATCTAAATTAACGAGGATAATTAATGTCCATTTTGGGCACAAGATCATGGCCAGAAAGGAGCCTCCATAACCCTCAGAAGTCTTTAAGGGCCTGTTCACATCGGTACTGCCCGTTCTATGCTACTTATTTTCAACGGCACCCCACCACACTAAGGGAAAGGTAATACACTGCTACTACCATGCATTGTAGCGCACGGCTTTGCAAAAAAATGTCACATGTCTGTTTTTTCCACCATTTTGGTGCATTGCCAGCCTAATCATTTGGATGGGCAGCCTTAACGCAATACACAGTAATTCACAAAACCAGGCACGGTTATAAGTAATCTATGCATTGTGGGGCACTGTGTCAAAATAAAATAGCGCTTGTTCATTAAAATATGAATGGGCTGCCTGCACTATAACATGCAATCAGAGCCAGATTTCCCACAAGGCCAACCAAGGCCCGGCCTCGGGGCAGCAGGGAGTAGAGGGGCAGCAGGGGTGTGGAATTTGTATCTCCCAACGCCCAGAACATGCAGTTCCGGGCGCCGGGCGGGTAGTTGTTTTATACATTTAGCCCTGCTTTGGGCAAGCAGAGCTAAATGTACAGCGGGGAAGCCACCTCTTGTCTTGTACAAGCGATCTCGGTGATGTCGCCGAGCTCACTTGTATGCAGCCTGCAGGTCTGCCTTTCTCCATGGGGGAGGTGTTTGGCGTGTGAGGGGGGCGCATTGAGGAACTTGGCCTTGGGGCAGCAGAGAGAGTAAATCCGTCCCTGCATGCAATATACCTCACGGCATGGAACAGTGTGAAAGGGTGTTTAACGCAGTGTGATGCATCGGCATTGCATAACAATCAGGGTCGGACTGGCCATCGGGCATACTGGACACTTCCCCGGGTGCCGGGCCGAACACAATCAGCCTAATCATGTTCGGCCTATCCCGGCCCGCTATGCTTGAAGCTACCTTGCAGCTGCTACCACCTGATGGCTGCCTATGGGTGCATTGACAATGTCTTATAACACAAAATGAAGAGGTTGTAAGAGAAGATTGTAATGTGTGTGGTCTGCTTTAGACCAGTCCCATCGTAGAAAGTGCCTGCTGCCTGAGCATCCGGCGCTCCGGCTCTCCCAGAGCTCTGCTGCCATAATTCAAACTTGACCAGCTGCCCCGTTAGTTCCTCGCAGTTCAGAATGCCAACGTCTCGCCTTTTTCACATCACTATCCGCTGCCTGGTATTAGTCTGCTCCTGCATAATCTTTATTGACTTTGGTGCAGCAGTCTATTGATTTTAAAATTCTTTTACTGCCTTATGACTGAGCGGCTGGCAAGGCTCCCAGCTACCTTTAAACAGAGCAATCTATCTGCCCAATCAGCTTCTCCCAGTCCGCCGGTGGAAGAATTGCAGACAATCCCGGCACTCGGGGCGAGGGCAAACGTTTTTCTTTGAAAGCAAAACTCTCTTTTTGAATCATGATGTCACTTCAGCGAGACTTTTGTGTTGCCGATTTCTTTCTTGTAGGATGGAAATGGGGTATAAATCATTCACGAGGACTTTTTTAGATGGGTGGGGAATCTTGCCAAGTGCTCTAGCGACATCGGATCTGAAAAGGATCAGAAAGTCAAAAGGCTTATTTGTGCATTTGCTGGATGAGACTTGCCATTGTACAATATTCGGCTAGGGGAGCCCCTGTAAAGATGCCCATACACCTTACGATTATCGGACGATTTTCGTATGCGATCGACTTTTCGTCCGATAATCGTATGTGTGCATTGCAGTGTCCGACCGACATTACTGTACAATCGTACGACTTTTGACGGTCAAGCATGTTTGAAAACTTTGCTCGATCGTACGATTGCCGTAAGGTTGCTGGCGTTTCCGTCCGTCAAAAGTCGAACGATCTACACTGCGCATGCGCGAACGAAAATACGACAAATCAATTACCGCATTTCGTCCAGGTGCTTCTCGTTAATTACGGCTAAATTAATCTTGCGATCATCGGGGCAGGATGGGGCTGCCGTACGAAAATCGTACGACTATTCGATCATCGGACGAAACGTTTCGTCCGATAATCGTAAGGTGTATGGGCACCTTAAGTCTAATAGCTAAGGTTCATATGGATTCAAGATACCACTCTAGGTGGCCCTCTGGCCCGCATTCACTGATTACAGGTGCCGACTAAACAAGGTCCAACCTTCCCTGACTAAAAAAAGGCACACCTCTCCCACGTCTTATGTTCTTTCACTCAAACAACTTGAATGAGATGACAACATGAAGTCCAAGCACTCCTTCCAGACCCTACTCTGGTCCCCTCTTCCCCATTCATACGTAGTCATAGACATGTGCGGTTCGCTTTGTGCCGAATCAGATCCTGAAATAACTAAATATCCGAACTGAATTTTTCCGCACTTTACATGTCCACCGAATAGCCCAGATCTTATGAGAAGATGCTGAAGCACTGTGCAAGATCTTGGGCTACTTAACCTTCTCCAAGTTCTGGATGGAAGGTCGACGAGGTTACCCTCGCCTAGGGGTTTTGGGAGGAAGTTGGGGAAAGGTAAGTATGCTTGTATCATTTTGTTCTGCCACAGGTACCTTTTTAGGGTAAGCGTTATCATTTGAATAAGTGGACCTTGCCATGCTATGCCTCTATAGGTTGAACTCTCTAAACTTGTGTCTTTTTTCAACCTGACCTCATATATAACTATGTATGTATGGAGGTAGAAGGTAGAAGGTGGTAGAAGTCAGTGATCTTTGAGTTGAGGCTACAGCAAAATAAGAAACATGTTACCTATAATCGAGGACGCAGCAGAAATTCTGATAGATGATGAAGATAATGTAAAACTGAAATTTCTGTTTGTTTTCTCAGGATTCCAAAGCTTTTTAACGAGTGGCTTTGTGCTCATCCCACAGGAGCAAACTTTCCCTTAGCAGGAGCTGAAAAAGAAGGAGCTTACATTTGAAGCATAGGACTGAACACCAAAAAACGGATGAACATATCAGACGTCTACAGGAAACAGGTACCTCTGAGCTCACATTGAATCCACAGTCTTTTTAAAAGGGGAGCGATGTGGGATGATGGATGTGTATGAATAGGAAATACATATAGATAGTATATTTCAAGTGCCTGCAAGCTTTTCAATATGTAAAACTTTTAGGTATTATTACCTCTCATAGTGACCACGGTACTGTCTCCGACGATGTCATTATCTTCTTTTATCCACAGAAGAACAGATCCGTCTTTGTTCAGACATCACCCGGAGCCCCCATCTGCTTCCAAGACCAATGGCATCACAAGGGGGGTGCAGCCTACACCAGGTGACACCATCAGAGGGGGTGACACCAAAATGACTGACAGTCATTCCCTTGGAAAAGTTAGGCACTCGGTCATGGAACGAGAGCTCGACAGCTGCACGAGAGAGGAGGAGACCCGGTGGATGAATGTCCCCTCTCTTTGCTGGTGTCCATCACCAAGTTGGCCACCAGCAGTGAAGTGCACATGTAGGCCAGCGTTTCTCAACCTTGGTTCAGTCACGGCACCCTTAAAAATTTAGCAAAATCTCTAGGCACCCCAGTCTAAAATGTCATGGATTTTAAGGGGGGACCCAATGCAAAAACACAAAAAGTGTGGTTCCTCCCTTTACATCGAAGTCCCCCCTTCAAATAAGGAAACCCCCCTTTCTCATCAAAGTCCCCCTTTACATCAGTAGCCCCACTTCACATCAGGAGCTCTCTTAACATTAGAAAACCCCTTGTTATATTAGAAGCCCCCCTTTACATCAGAATCCCCTCGTTATATCAAAGCCCTCCTTTCATATCAGGAGCGCTCTTAACATTAGAAGACATCTTTCATATTAGAAGCCCCCCTTTACATCAGAGTCCCCCCATTATATATCAAGGCCCTTCTTTCATATTAGGAGCTCTCTTAACATTAGAAGCCCCCTTTTATATTAGAAGTCCCCCTTTACATCA